ATTACACAGCCAGACCCTCAACCTCTGTCAGCTTCACTTGCCTTATCTGCAAGTATCATGTCAATTCCTGATCGTGAAGACTCTTCTGAACTCTACATGACTTCCTCTGTGTTTCTGAACTGGGTAGGGATGATAATTGACCTGCCACTCATGCAGGAAACCACCTCTAACATAAGTGAGTGTTAATATTCAGACCTGGAATTATGACTTGGCCATAAAGGAAACATGATAATCTCTTCCTGTATCAGACTTGGTAGGGATGGTATGAAACATGATTCCTGCTCCTTGGGCTCTGCGTGGAAGGACAAGCAGTCATCCTCCCCTGTGGCCCTGTTCTGTTTAGACCAGGAAATGTCGTGTACATGCATAGTGGCTGCTGGCAGGACGAAGGCACCTCCACTCAGGAGTCCCTCACAGCATGGTGTCTTTTATCATGAGTTCCTACAGCACGTGGCCAGTGCTTGTGGGGAGACACATCTTGGTGGCTGTGTGCCCCTGACTTGTGGGGAGGGGATGCGATAGCCACAGCCAAGAGACCACAGTGCATCTCCTGGAAACACCAGCGCCTGCTGGGGAAATAACAGCCCACCTACCTAGAGGATCATGAAGGCCTAAATCATTTTTCACAAGTAGTTTTAAAACACAGATGTTTGAAATTTCATAAGTTAACAGAAAATATGCTCAATGCAGGAAATGTAGAAAACATGGAAAAGAAAAAAGTCTCCCTTGCATTATTCAAAGGTAACCCAATATTAGTGTATATATGCTATACCTATGCATAGTGCCTCCAAAAATATCACCTGCTTTCTGCATCTAATGACATATGGTACTGCTATTTCCTTGTGAATCAAATATTCTTCACGTTTTTTGTTTTTAAATTATGTATAGTTGACATGTTACATTAGTTTCAGGTGTACAATGTAGTGATTAAACGATTCTATACATTATGCTGTGCTTACCATGATTAGTGCAGTTCACATGATTATTTTACGGTGGCATAGCATTCCAGTATCTAGGCACACTATTATTTACTATAACAAATGCCCTATTATTGACAGCCCTTTCAGAATCTGAATGTCTCCATTCTTAGCCCTTTCTAGGGTTTGTGACCATTTTAGCATAGAATCTTATCTCCAGGGATTGTCCTCCAGATCTTTTTTTTTTAATTTAAATTCAAGTGATTAATAGATACTGCATATTCGTTTCAGAGATGAGTTCAGTGATTCATCAGTCTTATATAATATTCAGTGCTCTTAACATCGTGTGTCCTCCTTTTTTTTTTTTTAAAAAAAAAAGATTTATTCATGAGAGACACAGAAAGAGAGAGAGGCAGAGACACAGGCAGAGGGAGAAGCAGGCTCCCTGTGGTGAGCCCAATGTGGGACTCAATCCCAGGACCCCGGGATCACAACCTGAGCCAAAGGCAGATGCTCAACTACTGAGCCACCCAGGTGCCCATAATGTGTCCTCCTTAAGGTCCATCACTCAGTTACCCCATCCCTCCACCCCTCTCCCCTCCAGCAGCCCATTTGTTTCCTATGATTAAGAGTCTCTTATAGTTTGTCTACCTCTCTGATTCCATCTTGTTTTATTTTTTTCTACCTTCCCCTATGGTCCTCTGTTTTGTTTCTTAAATTCCACATTTGCTTAAGATTCTGTGATATTGTCTTTCTCTAATTGATTTATTTCACTCAGCATAATACCCTCTAGGTCCATCCATGTCATTGCAAATGGTAAGATTTCAATTTTTTGATAGCTGAGTAGTATTCCATTTATTCCATTTTGTGTATCTATATCTGTATACCACCTCTTCTTTGTCCATTCATCTGTCGATGGACATCTGGATTCTTTCCACAGTTTGGCTATTACGGACATTGCTGCTATGACCATTTCAGTGCAGGTGCTCCTTCAGATCACTACATTTGTATCTTTGGGGTAAATAACTAGTAGTGCCATTGCTGTGTCATAGGGTAGATCTCTTTTCAACTTTTTTTGAGGAACCTCCACTGTTTTCCACAGTGGCTACACCAGTTTGCATTCCCACCAACAGTGTATGAGGGTTCCTCTTTCTCTGCATCCTCACCAGCATCTGTGGTTTCCTGTCTTGTTAATTTTAGCCATTCTGACTGGTGGCAGGTAATATGTTATTGTAGTTTTGATTTGTATTTCCCTGATGTTGAGTGATGTAGAGCATTTTTTTTCATGTATCTGTTGGCCGTGTGTAGGTCTTCTTCTTTCAGGACATTCTTAAACTTAAAAGCAGTAGGATCTCAATTCCCTAAGAAGTGGCAGTCTTGTGTTATCTTGGCTCCACTATTGGCTTGAAGCAGAAGATCTTTACACTTTTTGCTTGTGGTATTTTACAAACCCCTAATGATAATTTTGATAATAAACTGAGTCCAAGAATACTGCTCTGCATAAGGGGGCCTGCCTATGTATTTTTCAAATGTCTAGATTAAAATCTCACTAGACAGTCTTCCACCCATCCCACTCCCTCAAAGAAACCCCCCAAAACTGGTCCAAAATGGAGATTAAGGGAACAAACCAAGAAATCGCAGTGCTGACACTGTCCAAGGCTAGGGGATTGAGTTTATTGCTCTCCCACCAACATGGAATACTGCAGGCAGCTTGTTTTTCCAGTCAGTACTTCTGTGGGGACTGTGAATTAAGGTTTTGGAAATTAACAGCATCCTTCATGGTTGGGATTACATATATGCCCTCAGTTTTCATATGCTGGAGTTCTCAAAAAAAAAAATTGGATAGCACATTGGTTGTTTGACCTTTTTGTAACAAAATCCTACTGGAGCAGGAAACCCCCTCACTAAGGACTCATTTTCACCAGATTTATGGCCTCATTTTATCTAGTTCAAATTGAAGCAAGTCTGAGAAGTTGTCTTTTTTCCCTTTCCTCTTCCATAGCCTTTAGGTATGAAACTGCTACACTTTAGATATAATTTTAATAGCTGTCACAGAAGGAGGACCAGATAATTGAAATAGCATTACAGATTCAGTATGCATTAATTAGGAACCCAGTGTAAGGTCAGGAGCTATATAGTCCAGTAAGCCATTGGTTGATGTTGGGAAGATGCCTCACTTCAAAGGATTGCTGAGGGGAGACTCTGGATAAATGGTTTGGTGTTGCTTCCCATGTGTATATATGGACATCCTTTTTTCCTTTTATTTTTGACTTGACTAGCTATGAAAACTGAGGGTAGTTGGAATCCATTTTTGTTGGTGTCAAGTAGGTGTCTTTGCAAATTTAAATTTATTGAAATAATTGTATTAATTATTAATAAATTAATTGGATAAATAAATAAATACTAACTACTCAAAATAGTTTTCTTTTTTTAATAATAAATTTATTTTTTATTGGTGTTCAATTTGCCAACATACAGAATAACACCCAGTGCTCATCCCGTCGAGTGCCCCCCTCAGTGCCCGTCACCCATTCACCCCTACCCCCTGCCCTCCTCCCCTTCCACCACCTCTAGTTCGTTTCCCAGAGTTAGGAGTCTTTATGTTCTGTCTCCCTTTCTGATATTTCCCACACATTTCTTCTCCCTTCCCTTCTATTCCCTTTCACTATTATTTATATTCTCCAAATGAATGAGACCATATAATGTTTGTCCTTCTCTGATTGACTTATTTCACTCCGCATAATACCCTCCAGTTCCATCCACGTTGAAGCAAATGGTGGGTATTTGTCGTTTCTAATGGCTGAGGAATATTCCATTGGATACATAAACCACATCTTTATCCATTCATCTTTCGATGGACACCGAGGCTCCTTCCACAGTTTGGCTATTGTGGACATTGCTGCTAGAAACATCAGGGTGCAGGTGTCCTGGCGTTTCATTGCATCTGTATCTTTGGGGTAAATCCCCAACAGTGCAATTACTGGGTTGTAGGGCAGGTCTATTTTTAATTCTCAAAATAGTTTTCATTCTGATGCTGGAAACTGATTTGAAGACCATTCTGACTTTCTAGTCATTTTGATTTTCTCTCTCCCTTCCCAAACTTAATTCTTTTGTTTTCCTTAAATATTCTTTCCCAATGGAATCTTTTTTTTTTTTTTAAACTGGAAAAACTCTTCTATGATGGGATTCTAAATTGTTTATACTCTACTGATAAGCTTCAAGCTCTTGGAGATTGTTCTGAGGCAGGGATTACAAAACCAAATGCACATAGCGGTAGGAAGGTCTTAAAGTGAGGAGCGTACCTGAGGAGTGTCAGGGAGCTGGAGGGTTGACCACTGGAGACTGGAATCCGAGGTCCCACTGGGAGGGGTTGGCAGCTGCTGCATTCCAGCCCATTGTGACCACTGGGTGGGAGCCCAGTATTGCCAAATGATCTGATTTCTTAAGAGAAGCTGTAAATACAGACATTTTTCTTTGTGGTTTATGTTTGAAATATAAAAATCATAATATGTTGGTTCAGACTTTAAGCAAATATATGGACCAAACAAACTATATCCCTGGCCCTGGATTATGCCCACAGATGGCCAATCTGTGGCCTTTGCTTTGAAGATTAAGTTTTGCCTTTTTAGAAAATAACAGTCTTAATCAAACAGTTTGTAGTTGCTCATTTGGCTGAGATATTCTATTTCATTCACCTTCAACAAGGAATATTACTCACATAACTGTAGATTTTAGATGAGTCAGTTGTAGCACATAATTCTCCTTGAGTATTACAACTCTATCTTGCTATTTTGTAGTATCCTCAGGTTTGTAGTATTCAGAGCAGACTTTTAAAAAGAAAATGGGAGTTTTAGGCCAACAGATCTCCCACCAAGAGTCTAATTTTTATGTGTTACTTTCTCAGATTTCTAAATAACAGTCTTCTCGTTGAACTTAGAAGAATATATTAACATAATAACTCTAGGTTTTTTGCCAGAATCCTTGGATATATTAGCAATTTAAGGTTAAAAAAACTGAAAATAATCTTGACTCCTCTTCGTTACCAAATGGATATTTATGTATATTCTTTTTCTTTCTTTAAAGATTTGAACATGGAATTCAATCCTTCAGACCATCCTCGGGCCAGCACAATATTCCTCAGTAAATCTCAGACGGACGGTAGGTTACTAATTTGTGTTTCTTAGAACAAAACCAAAGGCTCATGTTGGTAACCCAAGTCTTGATTTTCCACTGCATGTGATTCTTAAGGTAAAAGAAGAATCCTCTTTAGCAACCGCCCTGTATATTGTTTGATGATGTTCTCTTTGGGTTTCTTCTTTTTGTATGTAGTAAGTTATGTTTTTAGAATTTCCATTTTGAAGCAACTATCCTCATTTTGCCAATCAGCTACATTGTTTCTACATACACTTTAGTAGTAGTTTTTACAGGAGAGTCAGACATTTTCCTCTAAGAATTGATATTTGCATAAATCTCTAAAGATCAGAAATGTTTGGTTTTTTAGACATTATAGTTGACAGTTTGTAAAAGAAAGCAAAATATAATCCTTACATCAAATCATATCAAATCCCTGTTATCTCAATTTGCCATTTGAGAGCTGAATTAAACCTATAATTGTTTCCTTTTGCCAAACTTTACTACCCAGCTTAATCTGCAGTCTTTATGGTTTGTCCCAGATGTGTGGAATTTCTGTTAAGGGTTTTCACTCTTTTCAGCCCTAGCTTATCTCACTGTTCCTGGCTCCTGGCTACAAAAGACAGATAAAAGTTTTACAATATAGTGAACGTGAACCTTCTCAGTTGGCTTCCTGTGAAAGAGTAGCCAGAGAAATTTGTTGAATGACCGTGTAGTGACTGGGATATTACATTACAATGCTGGAGTCCTGTGTGTCTCAATCCCTGACTGTTTTTGGCAAATAACTAAATTCTAATTAAGAGAAAATCCTAAATTGACGAGAAAATAATCAGACATTTGTAAGGCAGAGAGTTCATTTATAAGAACTGATAACTTTTCAGTAATGGTTAGGGGACAGTTTTGACATGGCGGAATGCTAAAGTGATACTGGTGATCTTTACTTAAGCTACCGACTTGATCTGAAAGAATTTGGTACTTTTATAAAACAATCAGTGTTTGTACGCATAAGAAGAAATCATCCTCAGCATCAAATACCTGTGAAATAAGTTTTTAATATATTGGGTTAAAAACAAAAGAGGGTATTTATTTCTTGGCCTGGTAAAGTGGGAAGCCATTGGGAGGGGTAGGCTATTGCAAGGGAAGAACAATGACGGTGGGGGGAGGAGGGTTTGGGACAATGAGAATCTAAAACAATTTTGTGCCTGTAATGATGCAAGGTTGGCATACTTTCAGATTTTGTTCCTGTTTCCTGTGGCTTCAGCATACAGACCAGTATCATTCAGGAAATTTTCTAACTAGAATCAAATGGAATTGCAAAGAGCTTCTTAAGTAGATGTCATGTACCTTGATTGTCATGATAAAATGAAACTCAGCAATTTTCCAAATTGCTAACAGAAGTATGGCTCCAGAAATGAGTTAGAGAAGTGTATCTCCTCCCTTCTTCATCTTCAGTGCAGATTTTATTCCCTCTTCCCCTCCTGTAACTTCAGGTGCTTCTGTTGAATCCTTCAGTTTCTTCTTAAATGCTGGATCTTTCCATTCAACATAGGAAATACAAGAAAAGGAAAGATGAGCAGCAGCTTCTCCCTGAGGTTTCCTCTCTACTCTGTTTAGTGAAATCTTCTATACCACCTCTGCTTCTCTGTCCATTCACTTTTCCACTGGGCATCTTCCCACCACTGCCATTCTGAGGAGCGGTGTTGTAAGGTTTGCTTCTGTTAGCTATTGACCTCCTAGGCGGCATTTGTTGCCCTGACTTTTCCTTGCTACTTAAAACTCCTTTGGCTTTTTATATTCAGATAGGCCAATTTGCTGAAAACAAGACCCTCCAATGAACCAATTGCTTTATAAATAATTAAAAAGTAGGTTTTAAAAATAGGTAAACTTGATAACTTTTTTTTTTTTATTAATTTGGTAACTTTAGTGAGTTAATTCTTTGGTAAATTGATTATCCATCAGGGAACTATTTGGGGACTTGGTCCTGAGAAACCCTCCCTTTTCTTAAGATCCTTCTCAGGCATCTTTAACCAAGTTCTTCTCTGTTCATCCCTTTACTGTTGGTATTTTACAGGGTTCTGTGCTTTATCCTCTTCTCAGTTTGCACACAGTTCATCGTGATGTCTATTTCTTTTTTTTTTAAGATTTTATTTATTTATTCATGAGACACACATACACACACACACACACACACACAGAGAGAGAGAGAGAGAGAGAGAGGAGAGGCAGAGACACAGGCAGAGGGAGAAGCAGGCTCCATGTAGGGAGCCTGATGTGGGACTCAATCCCGGGACTCCAGGATCATGCCCTGGGCTGAAGGCAGGCGCTAAACCGCTGAGCCACCCAGGGATCCCCATGATGTCCATTTCAACTATAATCTCTAGCCAGATTTTTCTCTGCAGTGTTCACATCCCTTATGTCCATCTGCCTGCTGGACATTTTGATATCTTTGTGTAACTCAGCATGTCCCAACCAGACCTCAGGAGCACAGTTAACACCCTGCATTTCCCGCTCTACCCAGGTCTCGCCTTGGATTTTCCTAGATTCCTCCCTCTCCCCAGTCTCACATTCTGGCAGTAGTGCTGGAGCTGACTCATACCGACTCGCAGGAGCTGATTGCACATTTCAATCCAGTTCTAAGTTCAGTGACACCATCTAGGAGTCTGAAAAAAGCCAGGAAGGGAACTTTTACCCCATAGAAATTGACAAATGCTACAAATCAGGGCATTTTTTAAAGGCAGATGTTAAACATTTACTAGCCAGCCATTACAGCCCAGTGATTGAAGGTATATTACTTTTTCCCTCATAAATGTCCCTTGAACCTGACAATCTCTTCCATTCCCATTGTGCCCCTTCATTGAGACTCCCTGTTTTCTCAGTTGGAAACTGCAGCACATGTACCTCACCTGTGGCCTTACCTTTACAGTCTGATGGCTCTACATCGCCAGGTGAAAACACTTCCTGTAGTTCAGATGTGATTATGTCACTTGTTTGATTAAACTTATTTGATGGCTTCCTTGTTGCCTTAAAGTTAAATTTTAGATGCCTTAGTATGATCATAGACAAGGCCCTTCATAATCCTTCCTCTGCCTTCTCATTTCACTGTCTTCCTTTGTGTCTCCATGCTTCAGCCCTGTGGAATCCCTTGCATTTCCCCACTGTGTGCCACGTGGCCTCCTGTGCCTTTGCATTTACCTGGATTTCCTTTCAGTCTTCTACAGCTCATTTCTTCAATCTCCAAGCCTCCTCCCTGAAGGTGCCTGTTGCCTCGCAGGCTGGGTTACGTGGGCCTTTAGTGAGCTCCCCCTGTAATATGTGAAATCTTTCTTCCTAGTCTGAACCATATTGTGGTATTTAAAGCTATTTTCTTGTCTGTGTTGCCAGCTAGCTCCTAGAGGGAAAGTGATAATAGATCTCAGTATGCCCTGTGCCTTGCTCTGCCTGGTACAGAGAATATGTTCAACTTTGGTGATTGAAAGAAGGAAAAAAAAATGACAAAGCCACCAGACATTTTTGATTTGTGATCATTCTTTACTTGTACAAACTTACATTTTCATTACAAGACCCGAAAACTTCTAAGAGTATTAGAGCAATAAAAAATTATGGGCTCCACGTACACCAATTTATTTTTTATTGGAAGAAATGTTATAACCTGAGATTTTAGAACACACAGCACCTTTTAGATTCCTTTCTTTTGGGATCCCTGGGTGGCGCAGTGGTTTGGCACCTGTCTTTGGCCCGGGGCACGATCCTGGAGACCCGGGATCGAATCCCACGTCAGGCTCCCGGTGCATGGAGCCTGCTTCTCCCTCTGCCTGTGTCTCTGCCTCTCTCTCTCTCTCTCTGTACTGTCATAAAAAAAAAAAAATTAGATTCCTTTCTTTTGAGTCTGGTGATCTCCCCTCTCTTCTTCAGATTGATGTACTCCTTTATTAGTTTGTACTAGGTTTGTGGGTAGGAGGCTTTTGTCAGGGTGATGGCAGTTATGTTAGGGTAGCTCCTGCCAGGGATCACAGCCAGGTGCTCTTTTACCTTTGCAGCTCTCTGCTCTGCAGACCCACCATCCTCTTTCCTTCTCCAGCACTCGATGGTCTGATGAACGTGCTCTATCTGCCATGCTCCCCAACAGCCAACTGTTCATTATTCTGCTCTAGGTGGTACTTGTATTAAGTCATTTGGAGTTAAATTAGAACCTATTAAGTTCCTTTTCCCTCTGATATCAAAGAGATTTAGGCTGGCCTTGGATCCTTTCTTTGTTGAGAAGGAGACTGGAAACTTTACCATAACAGAATGATAATGGAGTGCTTGCCTAATTATATCTCCGCCAGCTGGCTGAAGTTAGGGATATTCTGTCCAAGCCAGACTGACTGCTCTCTCAGTTTCTTCTTCACACAAATGGTATGTCATTGCAGAATTTCTTTGTGTGAGAGCCACTCAACAAAGAAGGGACCATGAGTTCCTTTAGGGAGTGGGTGGGGTCCTGAGGAGGTGCCAGGTGAGAGAGAGATTAGTTAGCTTGGCCTCCCTTGGCTTTTCATGCTATCATTTTGACTTGTGGGGAAGAATTATAGTTCTTAGTGGTTTTTCCTTATCTAAACTATTTTAATTCATTGTTTTCTTTCTTTCTTTCTCTTTCTCTTTCTCTTTCTTTTCTTTTCTTTTCTTTTCTTTTCTTTTCTTTTCTTTTCTTTTCTTTCTTTTCTTTCTTAGATTTTATTTATTTATTCATGAGGGACACAGAGAGAGGAGAGAGGGAGAGAGAGGCAGAGACACAGGCAGAGGGAGAAGCAGGCTCCATGCAGGGAGCTTGACATGGGACTCGATCCCAAATCTCGAGGATCAGGCCCTGGGCTGAAGGTGGTGCTAAACCGCTGAGCCACCTGGGTTGCCCTAATTCATTGTTTTCAAAGACACGAAAACCTATTCTTGAGTATTAGAAGAAAGCAGTCAAACCACATCTTTTTTAATTTTAACTAGTATGGTTGTCTTAAAGAAGAATTTGGACAAAAATAAGAACTTTTGTATATGTG